GCTCGCACTCACTCATGCCACAAAGCCTACTGCAGATGATCCCGATGAATGAGTATCTCAGTCAGCAGAGCTCAGTCAATCCCGGATGCCCGGGTCTTCTGGGATCTGGCCCCGTGACGGGACAACACGCCAGAGCCATACACACGTTGACTTGTGTGGAACTGATGAGACGGACATTCGACTGGACAACATCAAGCATAGTCAGTGACTATTGTCGTCATTGTTTGGGCTAGGTTTCAGGCCCCAGATCAGACCACAGGAATGATCGTTGGGATGCGGGTTCTGTCCCTTGTGTCGTCGTCGTGCCAGACACCAGGAATGGCATATGTTGTCGTCTGCGAAGTGCCATGCTGACGACAACATGTAACACGTTGCGGGGATGAGGTTTCTGTCCCCGTTGAGGATACCAGCTGCGGACGCAACCACCCAGGTACTCCTCATGGCAGGTACGTTTGCACATCTGCTACTCATGGTCTTCGTTGGTCCCAGCATGAGTAGCAGATCTGGGACCCCCTGCATGAAATCGAAAAACGGGCGTGACCCCAATCCTGCATGTACAGCAGGTTACACACACACACACCCACACACCCACACCCACACCCACACGCACACGCCCACGCCCACGTCCACGCACACGCCCACGCCCACGCACACGCACACGCACACGCACACGCACACGCACACGCGCACGCACGCCCAGCACACCCGCGCACGCCCACCAGGGTAAAAAAAACGCATCCTGGTACAGACCAGAAAAGATGAAAGGTGCGACGAGCACCCAGCAGGGAACGGAGAAGACTGTCAAGCCGCAGGCCGGTTGCACAGCTAAAGTCAGCATCGTCACATGTGGGAAGTGAAAGGCGGGTGCAGGGCTCAGGGTTTAGGGCTTAGGGCTTAGGGTTTAGGGTTTAAGGTTGATATAGGGTTTAGGGTTTAGGCTTGGGATCCTGTACCATAGACGAAGGCTGTGCCGCAAAAGCGTTGGTTGTTTGACTGCTGCATCAAGATTCACAAAAAGTTCTTTCACGACCCACGAGCTTGAGCTGTCGGGAAGAGGACGAGTATGGGAAACTACCCTTGCTTGAAAGTACATAGCATATCCATACATTTCATGTGGTTCTCATCCCCTTTTGGATTTCGAAAGAAGGTAGATGCTCGTCTTCATAGCCAAGAGCATTAAGATTGATGAGTTCTTATTTCGATCCATCAAGGCAATGGGAAAGCCCGCGTTGCTGATCAAGGAAAGTTTGCGTTCGTATTGAAATGTTGAGAACTTTGCTACGGCCTCTGCTGATATTGCTCAGAAACATAAAAGATTGTGCATGTCAGAGCCCTGATATCAGTATTCCGTACTTTTCCTGCATACACTTTGGGAAGAGTGAGTTTTCCAGCAGTCTGATCAGGTTGAAGGCCTACAATAGCCCCCACAAAAGCCTGCATAAACAAAGAATAGGTCATAAATGTGAGCTCTTGCCAAGCTACAAGACTGCCAAGAAAGGAGAAAGCACGTCATGGTGCTGTCGTTTTTTCGAAGCATGAGGCATTTTGTCGAGCTTGAAGGGGCACCAAAGGCGTCATGAGACTTTGTTGAGCATGAGAAGGCGCCAAACCTGTCTGCCAAAAGGGTCAGAAGTTGGTGTTAGCTTAGGAAGCCACAAGAACAACACATCAACATGGCGACAGATTGTCTTGCTACTTGGTGAAGATGATCGTGCTTTGCGAGCGAAGTTCCCAGAAATGTAAGAGCTCGCATCAGGCTCAATAAGACATCTTTCCACCAAGTTCATCAGAGAGCATGCGCACTTTTCGAAGTTGAGCAAATGCACAGTGTGTGTATTCCAATACGCACACAGCAGAAAACCGACAAGCTTGCTGTTCAAGTCCATTCAACGGAACGAACAGACCACATTGTAGCACTAGAGTTAGAATTATTTGGTCGGGCTTGTGGGGGTTTTGGTTCCGGAAGGTTGGCCCGCCCTACAGACTGTTGACCCGCCGTACCAAAAGGCAGACCGGTCGCTTGTGCCCACCTCACCTGGGTCACTTGTGCCGGCGTCCTCGCGGGTCACTTGTGCCCGCGTACGTGCCTGAAATCACAAAAGGGCCACACTTTGGGCCACCTGCCGAACAAACGCCGACCGGTCACCTGTGCCGGCCTTTGGGCCTTAAAGCATGGCAGGGCCATAGGACGACGTGTCATGCGGCCCTGCCACATCCCGCAGACCCCTCCCCATTGTCCCCGCCCAGCCTGTGTAAGTGGATCTAGTTGTGATGCATCGCGTGAAGCAACGTATTCTTCCTGTCATGGGCTCACCCTAACCTACACCCCCTGAACCGTCACCCGCCTAAACCAACCCCACGAGAGTTTAGGGCTCACGGTTTAGCGTTTTGAGTGTATGGTGTAGGGCGTGGGAAAGAGAACTTGTGCGGCTCCCCGACACTATCCAACTATCGGCTCCTTAAACCCTAAACCCCACGCCCAAAACCAATTTCATGAAACTTCAGACGCCGAATACTGTATGCCTTGAGGCGTCAACCCTGAACCTACTGATCCCAGACTCTAACAAAGCAGGATTAAGGTTCAGGACCTTGGCAAATAGGCCCCCCCTTAATGTAGTGTTTAGAGTCAGCCCTAGCCCGTGTCGTGCTGGAAGACGCGAAACAACGTTATTATCAACCCCCCCCCCCCCCACCTCCGCCCCATCAAGCCCAGCCGCGCCGTGGATGTGGTCGTGCTACACTGCGCGAAGAAGCAACGTTGTTATCAGCCCCCCACCTCCTCCCTTCCGTACCGCAACCCAAGCCCCGCCCAGGCGTATACTGCTGGACCACGCCACCCGCCACCCCGTCAAGCCTCAGTCGTGCCGTATGTGGTCGTGCTGTACCACGCGAAGAAGCAACTTTGTTGCCGTACTACGGGAAACGGTTCTGCTCCCGAAACCGATTTCAACCCCCCACACCCCCCCCACCCCCCCACCCCCCCACCCACCCCCACCCCCCACCCCCAAACGACCAATAATGTTCCCCCCCCACCCCCCCACACCCTCCCCCCCACCCCCCGCCCCACCCCCCCCCCCCCCACCCCCACCCCCCCACCCCCAACCCCCCCAACCCCCCCACCCCCACCCCCACCCCCCCCCCCCCCCCCCCCATTTTCCCCCCACCGCCCCCACCCCCCTCCGTGCTGTGGATGTGCTGGTAAGGATGTGGACGCATGACCGATGACGTGGGCGCAGGTGACCCGAAATGACGTGGGCACAACTCACCCGGATCACGTGGGCACAAGTGACGGGAATGCCCGGGTGCCAACATGCCCTGCGAAGGTCCATTCACTTAAATCAGGGCAGCGACCTTTTCTAAAAATCAAGAGCCGAAGAGAAAGAGCGAGGCATAAGATATCTGTTCAAGTATTAACAAACCCGCATGTTTAAGAATCGTCGCCGTAAGACATGCCCACACTATAATTGACAGCAAGAACACAATACATCAGGAGACACAAATGGTACAGGTTCGGGGCGCATGCCTGCCGCTAGCTGGTAAAAATCATGTGTTGGCTGCGCGAGTACATGTGTCCACACGTAGTTCTTGCTGGCATTGCATGGCCGCGGAAGATGCACGCACTGTCATAGACTCTTCTTGAGCACGACCATCCTCTGCGCAACAGCTTGAAATGACAAGCTTGGTCAGGAGATGTGGCTTGCTTAAGGTTTGCGAACGTCACTAGAGTTCTGCTGCGCAGCTCATATCTACATTCTACATGTTGTCTGGCCGCACTCAGAAACATGAGCAATTTGTGACAGCTTCGGCAGCACTTCGGCATGCAGAGTGTATCATTAGGCCCCTTTCTCCCTACATGTGGACCAGTTGCAGGCGCGCTTGGCGATGGTTTCAGCCCGCTTTAACAGCAGAAACAAGGAGATGGAGGAGAAGTTCCGCCGTGTGTGCCGAACCCTTCGTGAACGAGACTTGGAGGCCCGGAGGGTCCGAGCATTACTATTATGATGAGTGCTGTTAGTCTCATGTTTCTTTACTGTTCTTATTGCTACGGTTTTTCTTTTTCTTTTCGTTCTTCGATTCAATTTCACTATTCTTTTTCTTCTTCTTTTTTTGATTAGCACTGTTTGATATGCTTGCCATAGTTATGTTCTGGTTGTGTCGAAACAACGGTTGTAAGCAGTGCAAACGGAGGTTCTTATGGTCCAAGCAGGCGCTGGAGAGGATTTTGCGCGGAAGACCATGGGCTACCTGCACAGGTTGCAAATCGAGAACGGCGTTATGCTGGCAGTGTGCACCACGGACTATGCGGAGATGACGGAGAGTCAATACTCCTCACATGCAGAGCTCCAGTATGCCTTGGACAACAGGATTGACATCCTCCCCTTGAAGGTTGAGGATACGTATCCGCCAGAGCCCCCATGGGGAGAGGACCACCCGTTTGACAAAGAAGGAGTTGCTCGTGTACTTGTACGCTTGGCAATGCGAAAATCCACAGTCTTTGTGGATTGCGTCGGCCAAGCAGAAGACTACATTGCAGATGAGATTGAAGACTGGTTCTATTCTGGGACGTTTGTTTTCCTTTTTTATGTTTATAGCTTTCTTGCTTGAGCATGCGAGAAATCCAAGCAGACGTACACAATTCATCTCCCTAAACCCTAAACCCCAAAACCCTAAAACCAAAACGCTAAGCCCTAACCTGCTTGAGCCATGTTGCGCAAGGAAAGGGTGCTACGACCTTCCTCCCAACTCATTCGAGGCGCGGGTTCTGCAATGCTCAGAGCACGCTAAGAGCTATCCTACCCTGGACCCATCCCATAGCTTCAGGGTTTAGGGTTTGGAGTTTAGGGTTTAGGGTTTAGGGTTTAGGGTTTGGGGTTTAGGGTTTAGGGTTCGCGTTTAGGGTTTAGGGTCTAGGGTTTAGTGTTTGCCTTTCGAGTCGCTTCGCAGGCCGGAGCGGTCATGGAGCGAAGTCTGAGTCTGCATTGGCTGGCGAATCTGAGTAGTTCTTCGTAGGGAATCAGGGTTTAGGGTTTAGGGTTTAGGAGGGTTTAGGAGGGCTTAGGGTTGAGTACTTACGGTTTAGGGTTTAGGGTTAAGGGAGGTAGGGTCTCAACTGGTAGAGCAATTGCAAAAGAGGTTCCGAAGGTTTAGGGCTTCAGGGTACTTCAGATACCTGGTTCCCGGTTCCCTACGAAGAACTGGTAGGCAAATACATGCTTTGGAAGAGGAAGAGGGGGAATGGGTCCCGTCCTTTGGTGTTTTGTTGCCGGTCCACTTGCTGCCCTGTTAAACAGCGCAGCTGACAGTGGCCGGGTTTCGGGTTTAGGGTTTAGGGTTTATTTCGGGTTTAGGATTTAGCATTTAGGGTTTGGACAATGGCCAGAAGCCCTAAGCTCTAAACCCCAAAACGCACCCTATCAGTGGAGCATATTTCAGGGGCGCCATGCCGGTGAAGTCCCCCCGAGGCTGTCGTCTGTCGTCACTCAATGGATCTATCAGTGATCTATTGCAGGGTATTTCCACTGTGTCAGGAAGCTTTTGGCAGACACATTCAATTGTGGAGATCCCTCCAGCTCTAGAAGTTCCACAGAAAACAACAACGGAGTGGGATCAGAGGGGTCATCAAAGGACGTACCTTGCTGATTATATTGCTGCCAGAAGGTTTCGGAATTCAAACCAGGTTTAGCGGTTGACGGTATGCTGAAATCCGCTTCTGCTTGCCCAAGGCAGGCAAGAACTGAGTGTGCTTGCAGATTGCCAGCACGACTCCCATCTGTCCAGGTGCATGCTCTTATCCCTAAACCCTAATACTTAAACCCTAAACTACCCTAAGCCCTTATCCCTAAACCCTAATCCCTAAACCCTAACCTACTCTAAACCCTAATCCCTAAACCCTAAACCCTTATCCCTAAGCCCCACTCATGTCTGCATGTAAGGTCAACTTCGAGTCGGCATTAATGCCCAGGTCTGCCAATATCCCTTAGTTTAGGTATGCTCCCTGAACTATAGAAGGGTTTTAGTTAGGGTTGTACTCCTTAGGAAGATCTGGGCAGTGATGTTGTAGATTTCGCCGAATCACGCTTTGCCAGAGCATATGCTAAGTTGGCAACTTATCTTGTCACAACAGAAATGCAACACATCGCAGGCACACAAATGCTTGATGTGAATCTCATCGTTGCAGATGTGCAACTGATGTCTCATGCAGGTCTACCTCGGCACACAGCGTCGTCGTCACCTCACTTTTTATAGTAGCGATTCTCGAACTTGACCGAAACACAAAGCCCAGTAACCCTAAACCCTAAAGCTGCATAGCAACCTGCATCTCTGGCATCTGGACAGCCGGCCGAGCGTCACCTTTGTCAATTTGTTGTTTCAAAGTCGCGGAGACTTTGCCCAGATACTGCAACACCAGCAAGAAACATTTTCAGGGACGACCCTAACCGGCCCTAACCCTAAATACGAAATAACCATAAGCCACAAATCAAAGAATGCCCGGCATTAAGGTCTCTTGATTCGTTTCTTGGATTTCACGATTGCATTTCTTGATTTTCTTTGGACGGTGGGCTTTCAATATATTGCTGGGGGGCTTGGAATCGTGAGGAACTTTTTCATATATTATTGACGACCGTATTGTTTCGCAAGAGTTGGTGGGATCTTTTTTTCCCCACATCTTTGTGTGGGGTTCTTACTTTTGGGGCTGTCCCGCGCTCCTTCCTCTTCCTCCTCCTCTTCCGCCTCCTCCCTCTTCCTTCTCTTCCTTCTCTTCCTTCTCTTCCTTCTCTTCCTTCTCTTCCTCTCTCTTTCCTCGTTCCTCTTTCCTCTTTCCTCCGTGCACCACATCACGCACCACATCACAGACAAAACAACATCACGCACGACATCATACACCTCATGCACCACACGCACACCACATCCCGCACCACAGCATGCACCACATGACGCACCACAGCACGCACCATATGACGCATCACAGCACGCGCTACATCTTTGTGCTGGCAGTCACGCAGCATCATCACATGCACGCACCACAGTGCCACAGTGCTGGCAGGCGCGGCACTTAGGGGCCCTGGGCCGTTGCCGCGCGCGCGCTCGGGGGCTCGCGAAACGCTGGCAGGCGCGACACAGGTGTCGTTTGTGCTGGCAGGCGCGGCACTTAGGGGCCCTGGGCCGTTGCCGCACGCGCGCTCGGGGGCTCGCGAAACGCTGGCAGGCGCGACACACGCGTCGTTTGTGCTGGCAGGCGCGGCACTTAGGGGCCCTGGGCCGTTGCCGCGCGCGCTTGGGGGGTTTATAGGGTTCCGGGTGTATGGTGTATGGGTGGGGGTTTAGGGTTGAGGGTTAGTTTAGGGTTGAGGGCTTATGGCTCAAGGTTCACGGTTTGGGGTAGGGTTTTGGGGCTGAGGGTTGAGATGGTTCGGCTTCAATTAAAATTCGTAAAGTTGAGCGGGGGGTGGGGCAGGGTGGGGTGGGGGGGGGGGGGCGGGCAGCGGGGGGCGCAGGGGGGGGAGGGGCAGGGGGCGGGCAGCGGGGGGCGCAGGGGGGGGAGGGGCAGGGGGCGGGCAGGGGGGTAGGGCGGGTACCCATGTGAGGCAAAACAAGTGGGGCCGAGGTTGGCCCAACTCCCAACTTATACGCCTTCGGCCCGTGGCCTCGGCGGATATATATTTGGCACAAAAGATTTTCCCATATTTCCAAAAACACCTGTTAAATATGAATCTTCTATAGAAAGAGTTACCGGCGGGTATCTTCGAGAATACGAAATCTGCTCTCGCCGGCGCCGCCCCTTGCGGCTCAGAAGCGCGCAGAAAGTTGCGCATCGCCGGCAATGTGATGGCGCCGAATCGGCGCCTGCGAGGACGCATGCTCAGTGGCTTAGGGACTGGCGGAAACCCTAAACCCTAAACCCCAAACCCTAAAGGGGAGCTCACGCCCGCAGCTTGAAGCAGTTGAGCCCATCCTAAAACCGTGATGTTCAACTGCTTCGTGTGCAACTGGTCGTTGATGTAGCAGGCCGATGTTGTGTTAAGACCCCGAGCGCAGCTGTTTTCAGCAAAATCTGGCCCTCTAAGCCAAAACGTCATAGATGAGGTAATGCTTAAAATGACTCAGCCATGAAAGCCAAATCTCTGCGGCCTCAACACGCACCGTTCCTTTGGCAACGACGTTGTTCAGGCTGCTGAGGCTTCACAATCATACGGTCCAAAGTTCAACAATATCAAGGGTGGCTGTGGTTCACTGGCAGGACAAGCAGAAAGGGATATACCGAACCAGCGGAGCCGTTGACTGCTGGATTCTATGTCTTGTCAGACAGCGGTACTCCGTAGTTTCAGTGTCACAACCCCTAAAGGTTGGTAATTTTATGTTTTGATCCTGTCCCCCCAAAGAGGAAAGAGTCTCACCACCAAGCCACACCACTCCCATCCCACAAGCAAGTGACCTTCACACACTTTCTCTTTCTGTTTTGGGGGGCACTTTTTGTTGGGGGAGCTGGTTGACTCACCTTCCGACCTACTACCAAAGGTATGAGTTGTGGTTCACTAGCGTCAGAGAGTAAGGCCGGAATCTACAATGCTCTCTACCCCTTGTGGCCACCGTGAGGTTTCATTTAGGGAGTTGGGGGTGCCGCCCCCAAGCCGAAGGATTGAAGTGATGATCAGAGGCTCATCTCTGTGGACGATGGTGCGCGCCACAGACCCCAAAACCCTCAAGACCTAGTAGCTAAACCTTGGGTTCTCCCACTTTTTTTTGTTGGGGGGGGGGGGGGGGGGGGGGGGGGGGGGAAGGGGGTATGCAGGCGGGTCGTAAAAATCAGAAGCCCTTCTGGAAGCAACCAAGGCAGGTATCATTAGACCTCCAGTATTCAGCCTTCACCCGAGACCTTCTTTCCGGGATGATGGAAACGAAAATGGAGACTCCTAGTACAGGGTGCCATCAAGTGTAAACCTTGGCCATCTGTCATGAAATCTGAATCTTGCCTGGCACCGAGTAGGCTAATGTCATTTTGAGAGCCCATGCCTGAACGTCGGCCTGGCCTACTTGCAAGCGTCGACCTGAAAATCCAGGACGTTTGCTCCATGACCTGATGGCGAACATGCTGCTGCAAAGGTGGGTCTGAAGCTTGAGGTTTGGGACGCTAGGGTGCGTGCTTTTTGGCTCCTCCTTTGTAGAGTGTTGGGGGAGCTTTTGGAATGCAGAGTTTTGGGGGAGCTTTTGGAGTTCCCTGGAGAGTGTTTTGCTGCATACTGCATGGTGTTTCTGCTCCATTCTGCTCCAGCAGTCTGCTCCCGCTGCCACCCCTTTGCTACCGCCTTGTACTCCTTTGTGAAGGGCTGGACGCCAGGGTTTAGGGTTTAGGGTTTAGGGTTTAGGGGTTAGCGTCGGACCAATCAGGGACGACAATGGGGTTTGGGATGTAGGGGTGAAGCAGCGTTTCAGAAGAACCCCACGTAAGTGCCAGTTTCCAGAATCTGCAGAGGGACAACCGCTGCCCTGGTGCGGCACTCGAGCATTATAGAGAAGCGGGGACCAAGATCAAGAGAACACTGAGGCAGTGCCCTGATCCTTGAGCCCCCAAGCCCCTTAGGGTCCGAGTCACTAGATGCCAACAACCCTGGAACTCGAACCCAAGGGCCCCCAAAACCCACGACTAGCTCTTTTTTTGTCTCGCAGCAACCTTGGACGTTAAGAGTCAAGCGCTCAAAGGTTAGGTCGTCTAGCGTTATGGCTGTAGCTGTCTGGAATTGCCAGGCTTGGCTGCAGCAACTTGCAGATGAAGTGTGCGACTGCCAGCTGAGCCAGGACAGGGGTTCTTGGGCTCAGGTTTTGAGGGCTCAAGGGTTCTAGGGTTTGGAAGGCTTTTGGGCTTTTGCTCGCTTCGCTGGTCGTGTGTGAGTCGTGTGTGTTTCTTTTGGGTCGGCAGAGTTTTCAAAACTGAACTTGACAGCTTGCAACCGAAGCACCGCGCCCGCTCTCAAGAACTGTCCACCATCGGGCAGCGCCCGGT